GGATATTTTATGCAGTGTTGATGCTCATCGTCATTAAACCGTTACGATGTGATTCAAGAATGAAGTGGATCGCCTTGATGCAGACATATTTGTATGTATTTATTTGTTGCAATGAACGATTTCGTAATTCGATAATAAATTATCAGAGTTTAATGAAGGGCGATGATACATACGGATTATGGCACTTGAATGTTTATTTGGATGAAATTCGATTCTTTCGATGACGTTTCAAACGCCGATGCGTCTCTGATTACAGTTGTGTATAATCATAATCGTGAAACAATACTATTCATTCGCGTTTTTGCGTGACCTCCAGCAGCGAGTCACGGTTAGCACTTGCGCATTTGCCACCACTGTCTCCAACTTATCAGGTAACCTTTATAAATGTTCGTAATTTATCTCAATGTTGTGTTGAAAGCTAATGTTTTTGTGCTTGTATCCAGTTCGTTGGTTTTTTTAATGAAGTGAAACAGAACACGGCTGAATCTCGAACTTCGCATAAAATTGCTGCGTTCTTAATTAGTACTCCAATGTTTTTAAGAATCATTTGACCAAGTATGTGGTAGTATGCATTCACTGAGAAATTTCTTGATTGTTTCTATGATTCTCATTTGAACAGAATTGAGATGGATGATGTGGTAAGGGTGCGATGCAGATTCATTGCGATTCTTATCGTTTACCTTGTTATCAACCAACGACAAGCATGCAAAGCAGATGAGTTGGACGATATTACATTGTTTCACGAAGATGAAACACGGTTGGTTTGTTACCTTTGAAGATCACATAGAGCGAGCAATATATGCGTAGCATGACCAGAACTGATGGTTAGGTGGAAAAGGACACAAGTCTGTAAATTTGTATCGGAGGAAAATCTTCAAGCGTTTTCTGTACACTCAGGTTTAGGTGTATGGTGTCATGTTTTGAGCTAAGCATCCGCACGGCACGTTTATCAGTATTTCATCTTCAACAAAAGATAATGAGTCAAATGCAAATTGTTGTTCTGTTTCATATGAGTACTTCAATATCCACCAAAACTTTCACAATACTTTTAACCAACAAAAGACACAGCTAATCCATTGAAATTACCTGTTTAACTAACAACATTTATTTTCAATGGATTACATTCATCAAAATTGCAACTGAACCAATACTATTTTTGAGAATGTGATCAAAACTTTCTTCCGTAGTGATCAATTTGAAGTGAAAATTTATTTTCACGTATGACTTTATTTACATTTTACATATTTACATTAGACAACATTGCTCAGTTACGAGCTTCATACATTACATCCGAATAACTCATTGACGAGTACCTCAATGGTCCGAACTAATTACAATAATTACTGTCTGATTATGAGGTGGTTAAAGTTATGCGATATATCGTAACATTTCTAGATCACGAATTGTTATGGTGAACGGCCACATGTATTTTCATGCGGGCAAGGACAAGAATATCTCGTTTTTATCGGGTGCTGGTGGTTCAATATTTTTTGGTGACAAAGATCTCAGTCTGCTTCCGCAATTGGTTAGCTGATCAATTTTGTGTTTACATCTGTTTGAGTGTGAATGAACAAGTGAAACGAACGACGAAAAGGGAACCAAAGAAATCGGAGTGATTCATGCAGCTAGCACAGGGTGATGATGCATGAGCAATGCAATGACTTGAACAAATGAGTTGCGAAATTGGCAAGAAGATTGATTTAGTTCTGATTGGATTACGCACATTCATCAGGTTTAGGCCTACCGATGAACAGTTCTTGACTGTGTGCATGGAACTGTTCTTGAGAAATTATATGTTATTGGGTGAGGGAATAGTAGCAAAAATTCAAGAA